TAATGACCGTACTAGAAACAAACTGTGATTAATGAAAAGCGGTCTCTTTTGAAGAAAAAGTGAGAGTATCAGCTTTTTGCTTCATGTATAGTGTTCAGAGGTGTAGGATCCATCATCAGGGTTATAAGAATTATTCTTTCTGAGTGTTTTGCCCATGTTTTAGCATAAGCAGAGAAACTGTGTGTTAATTTTCCTATTGTATGCCTGTTTCGTTAGGTGTTTCTGAACTGTTCACACATTCTTTGGAATTTAACTATACACAAGATAGAAACCAAAGAACCCAGAGAAAATGCTTCTAAAATAACTTTGTTCATGAATTAAAATATTTACAAGCAAAATCCTAAAACTTGAAGTTTAAGATTTATGTTCATGTTTTGTAAAGCATGATTTTTTTTGGCCAGTTCAGGTGGAAATACAAGAAGTTTCAGCTAAAATTTAGAGATACAGGTGCTTAGGCTACAGCACCAACCAGCTTCATTAGGATCAGGATCTGGCTGTTGACGTAGCTGCTGTTGTAGGTGTTCAGTATGTTTTGGAATCCTCCTTCCAGATCCTCTTTTCACCAGAAAGTAGCGTCCGTCTATATCCCAGCAAGATAAAACTGCCAAGGCTGGTTGCTCAGCCAGTCACGGCTGCAGACCTGGGCTCCCAACTTCAGCACAGAATGTTCACCCCTTCCTAGAACCAGCTCACTGCTGACCTGTAGATAGCATCGAGTCAGTATTAGGCTAAAGGTGATAAATATATTCATCTTCTGTTTTGAAAAAAGACATATAAAGTAAGAATAAAATATGTTTAGAGTATATGTAATCAACATGACAAGGAACAACTGTCAGGTGTTTGCTTTACTGGATGGATTTCTTACTTGATCGCTTTTTGTACTATTTTGTCCCAAGTTCTTTTAAGTCTTTTTTTTTTTTTTTTTTTTTCCCCCAGCTTAGTTTATTCTCACAATCTGGGGCACAATGCTGCCTCAGAACAGCTTTTGACACTGCTGCCTCTTATGTGGAGGCAATAATTATTATTCATAAGTACTGATTCACTGCAAACAGTGTTTTAAAGAATCTGAAGCTTTTTATCATTAATGAACTTTAAACAATCAACAAAATTATTGTTAACCTTGCATAGACAGGCTTATGTGCGTGGACATGCACACACACACATGCAGGCTTCTCCCTACCCATCTGACCTCATTCTTTAGAGAAGCAATGATACAAATTGCTCTGTTGATATCTCTGTGTCCGCTTACTACTCACTTGTGAGTCCATTGCAACCCAAATTTGTAGCGAGTTGGTGGTATAAATAGGTGGTAAGTGAAGTTTCATGAAATGGTTCAACCAAGCTAGTTGGCTTGGTGGTATGAGAGAGATTTTAATTCTTCTTTTCTGTCCCAGACCTCATGCATGCTCCTGAGCTGGGCCTGATTACTTGCCTTACCATTTACCTCTCTGAATTAGAAGAAAAATAACCCAGCAAAGAAAGAAGTTAATTGTTTTCTGTCAGTTTATCAAGCTAGCAGAGCTCACTGAAGGTTAAGGTGGGCTCCCATGCTTGACCAAGGGAGCCAGTGAGACTATGGGGCAGGAAATCAGAGGGGCAGTTGACTCCTGTCTCTTGACAGAAGTTGTTATATGTGCTTCATTTTCTCATAATATCTTAAGTTCTTACAAATCTCACAAAGAAGATTGGATACCAGATAATGAGAGAGAGATTACCAGGGCTCCCAAAACTGAACAAGGTTGGAGCTCATGCTTTGTTTGGAACCAAAGAGTTCAAATACAAAACCCAGTATTTCCAGGCCTTGTTGATTCAAGTCCATTTGTTGATGGACTATTCACTTTTAGCTGAATTCTGGCAGGTTTTGGAAAAAAAAAAAAATTTTTTTTTTCTTCAAATATGTGAAACACTGTTTTGACTTAATATTATTTGACCTGAGTTTGGGATACCTTTGGTCTTCCTGCTGTTGCATCCTTTAGAAAGTTAACCAGGGTATGCACTTTGCTTTAGTTTTCACTTTTTCCAGTTTTAGAGTGGTTATTCAGGTCCTCATTTTATCTTCTCCTTCCAGTTTCCTTGTATTCTCTCAGAAGAGTTCTCCTAAAGCATTCTTCCTGTTTGAATAGCAGTAGTAGCAGGACTTAGAAGGAAATTATAATTCCCTAGATACCCTCCTAAATATTTTGTTGCCCCCCACCGCCACCTTTATATTCTTCCCTTCTGATTCTGTTGACCATCTTTTAATGTTTTGCTCTAATAGAGCAGCCTAGGACTATCTGGAGAACCATTCTGATGTCCATTGCAGAATATTCTGTGGTGGTATGGGCTGATGTGCTTACTGTCACCTCAGGCCCTCACAAACAGACTCTGTGTCACACTTCTTGAGCACTGACTGTCATGGTTTAACCTGGCCGGCAGCTAAAACAACCACACAGCTGTTCGCTCACCTGGGGGAGAGAATTGGGGGGGGGGAAGTAAAACTTGTGGGTTGAAATAATGACAGTTTAATAGAACAGAAAAGGCAGAGGATAATAATAACACCAACAACAATAATAACAGTAATGATAAAAGAATATACAAAACAAGCGATGCACAGCACAAATGCTCACCACCCACAGACCACCGATGTCCAGCTAGTTCTGGAGCTGCAATCTTAACTCCTGACCAGCTTCCCCACAGTTATATACTGAGCATGATGTCACATGGTATGGAATATCCATTTGACCAGTTTGGGTCAGCTGTCCTAGCTGTGTCCCCTCCCAGCTTCTTGCGCACCCCTAGCCTACTTGCTGATGTGGCTGTATGAGAACTGAAAAATCCTTGGCTTGGTGTCAACATGGCCTAGCAACAACCAAAATATCAGTATGTTATCAACATTATTCTCATCCTCAATCCAAAACACAGCACTATACCAGCTACTAGGAAGAAAATTAACTCTATCCCAGCTGAATAACAGGACACTGACACACGTTGGTCTTGTACCACATCCCTCAGAGCTAAGCCTACTACAGTATGGAGAAGTGTAAGAAAGATCTAGAAACTGAATGTCAATGTATCTGAGATATCAGGGCAAAATATGAACTTTTACTGCTAGGTGCTTTTCTTAAGGTCCAGTGTAGCTTTTTGATGGTGCTGTACAAAATACACTGTCTTAGGATTTTTCATAAAGAGCTGTAGTGGCTGTGTCTAAATTTATAAATAATGTTGAGTTAGTAAGACTGGGTATTAACCCCCACCAGTGCTTATCAGGTGGTTTAGAAGTTGGTGCGGGCCGCTTAAGTTTCATGCTGTTATGTCTTTACAGAGTTTACAAAAGTTTAAGTGAAGTGATTATAATCTGGCATAATTCATATGTGGATCAATTAATAAATGCAAGTCCTGAAATGAAGAGTTATGGTGGGTAAAAGGAGTAGATATCTAAGGGGTTTGTAGTAGCTCTACGTCCAACTGAGAGAGACTTTTTTGGTGACATGGTGATGAAAACAATCTCATGTTATCCTGTAAAGATGCCCTTTATAAGGCTGTGTGTAGGGGCCGTGTTGAAGAGTGGCACATCAGAGGGTATTGTGGCTTATAGAGTGGCCCAGTATGAGCTGATTTTATAACTCCATGCATCTTTTGTTTGGGTGTGTGTGCTACCCATTGTAGTATAATCCTACAAAATCTTACCCTGAATGGGGTCTCATACTTACCATTAAGGCCCATCAGTTACTGATGAAAAAATATTTATAACTACCCTAACTATACAGTATTCAAGTGTTTGCAGAGGTTTTTAACAATATTTTGATATTTAAAAAAATAATTCTATTGGACAGTATTCGAAAGTAAGGTAGAGACTTTTTTTTCCCTCCAAAACAGATTCACTTTGTCTTTCTCTCCTCATCTCTCTTTTAAATGTCATTATAATTCCCACTCCTGGGCTGTACATACTTTTGATTGACCGGTTGCTTTATTCACTTGCTCCAGCCAGAGAGAAACCTGCCTTGATTTCAGATCTTGGCTAAAGGATAGGCAGGAACAGTTGAAAGGAAACTATTTGTAAGAAGAATTTAACTGTGGAAAATGTGAATTAATAATATTCTGGGGTTAAGTAAACATAATGCTGTGTGTAGATGAGCATGAGCGGCGTGTGACAGTTTGCCAGTCACCAGTTTACCAGTTGAGAGTGTCGGTTTGCAGCTGTGTGCCCTGTAACAGTCAGTGACATCTGATTAGGTTGTTTGCTTTGTAGATCTCTGAAAGATTTAGAATATCTTTCAGGAACATGTCCACAGATTGATGTTTGCCTTCACGTAATTTGCAAAATTAGTTTTCAAGGAAACAGAAATATAACTGAGTCTTTCACACGAGAAATAATGCTAAAATCATGCTAGAATAATACATATATTTGTTTTTCCTTACAAAAAAAATTCTTACATTATTTAGAGGCTGACAGAAAAAAGTAGTTACTGTAGATCTACAGATTGCTCTGCTTGAATCGATGCAATCCATATCAAAAGAGCAAAGATTTTTAAATGAAAACTTACTCCAGCATGTATATTCCACTTCATGACGAGTCTTCCTTCTGTGATGACTCTGGGTCACTCACAATGACAATATAAAAACGTTTGACTGTAATAAGAAGTAGTGACTTGGTGCAGGATGGAGAGTTTAATACAGTTGACTTCCATTTATATACTGCCAGGATACTTTAGAGGGAAGGTTAAAATGACTTTTACTTTTCTCCATGCCAGAAAAAAACTGTGTAGTTTTAAATACATTCCTAGCTGTTGTATGCAGTCTGCAGTATAGTTTGCATGTTGACAGGTCTATAGATGGCCATGAAATTTATTGAAAATAGCTAGGTTCTACAAATGCACAGATTGGAAATTATCCATAGGCTGTTAATGCCCAATGGCTCTAGATTAAAAGTAATTGTAAAAACAGATGTAGGTATTTCCTGATTCCAGAAGATGCTGATATTTATCTTTGTATTTTTGTTTTGTTCTTTAGTGAAATAGAAGATGAATTCAGCTGAAATCACTGATGATGATGAAGGTAAAATATTATACTTTGTGAAATTTATGATCAGGCAAAAATAGTTGTTAAATGAAAGCCTTTGTAACCTGATAAGGAGTGCACTTGGATCAAGACAAATTACATTAATGGTTTTTAAAAAGCTATCTAAAATACACCGTTATCTTTGTTACTCATATTTTCTGCTCTACGTCCTTCCTCCCCTTCAAAAAAATTCTTCCTACTGTAACTTTGTTTATACTTCAGACTCTTCTTTGGGGAAGAAAGTGTCATTTACTGGATGACTGAATGGTTCCCAGCATAATAAGAACTTGACTTTGGGGTGGCCTCCACATACACTTACCATACAAGTCATGAAAAATAATTATGTTCTGCAAAACACATTTTCATGAAACAAACCACAAAAGATTGTATTAAGGGTGTCGTGGTTTTCTGGAGAGAGTGCTTTATCTTTCTAAACCTTCTCTTTTTCCAGTAAAAATTCCTAAAAAAAATATTGTGAAAGTAGAAACAGAAAATGAAGATGAAGCTCTAGACTGCTCGGTAACATCCAGATCTGCTGAGAAACACTCACTGGATGGCGCAGTTACTTGCCTACAGGATTCCAACAAACGGAAACAGACCTCACTTGGTTGTGATGGTTCAGGGAGCCAGCAAGATGTCTTACCCAGTGTGAAGAAAAGACGCTTTACACAAGAGGTGACTTCTCTATACATGACTGTGTGATTTTTCTGTTCATATTTCACAGGCTAAATTCGTTGCTACTATAAGCAAAATGCAAGTCATTTAACTAGATTTGCATTAGTAACGAGTTTGAGTCAAATATGGCTACTCTTAACCCAGTTTGCACACATTACTTGTCTGGGTATTTCTTTAAATAACGTGGGAGCGATCATATCTATGAAATACACTTATAGGTTAATTCATTCATGTGAAGTATATTTTTGTTGTTTGTCAGAGAATGTAGGAGCAGGTAGTGATTTGGATTAACTGAGCATGACTCTGATTACAGTCCCTCTCATGTCACACAGTCCTTCAGCTGGATCCTCAGTGGTAGATTCAGGGCTGTAATTCTTCCTTCTGTGAAACAGATTTTGATGTCAGTGAGACAAGTATAAATTTGTGTATTACTCGAAAGATAAAAATGCGAGGATGCAGAAGACTTCAGCATATCAAGAGCAGAATGTATTACAGCTTCTGGTGCAGCATCCTGCTTGTGACAATCCAGATGTTTGTCCAGCTGGTGAAGGAGATGCCCAGTCTCTTCTGTTAACCTGTTCTAGTGTTTCACCGCTCTAGCAATTGGAGATTTTCATTAATCTTTGCTGAAACTGAGCGAGTTTCTGTTTGTCCTTGTTCTTTTCAGTAGGGAAGGCAGTGATCATCTGTTCCTAGAAAAGTCTTCTGCACATGGGAAAATTGGTGTGATGTTGTCCACCTTCAGCCCTTCCTTTCCAAGACTAAAACTCTGTTTCTTCAGTTCTTCTTCAGGAGTCACCTTATTATTTTTGTTGTTCTCTTTGAGATTCCTGGAAGGGTAATACCCAGTGTTGGATAGTCATGTCTCTTCTAACACCCTCTACAGCAGTATAACGACCTCCTGTTTTTCACACTCAGCACTTTATTAAAATAACCTAGATTCAAATTCATCCTCTTTTGAATAACTTCAGGCCCTGGGTTATATTTAGTTTATGACCTACTCTAACGCACATATCCTTTTCTGCTGTTCTGCTACCTAGCCAGTTATTCCGTGTTGTATTTGTGCATTTCATTTCTCCTTTCTAGCCATAGCTCTTCATATTTCTTTTTCTTGACTGTCATCTCTCTGACTTCTCGGGGCTGTTTTTTTTCCCTGAATGCCTGTGGTAGGTAGGTTTTAATCTTATTACACGGTTTCTTTCTTTTCCTTTCTCTTTCTCTTTTTACAACTGTCTGTCTTACATTCAGATTCTTAAAAGAGCTTTGTAATGGTCTCTGAATTGTGCTTGCTTTAGATTTTACTGTATGCTGTTTGATAATTTTTTAAATTTATTTGAACTGAGTTATAACTTTGGACTTGTAATATCAGAAAGTGACCCAGTAACAATGATGAAAATTCATTCTTGACTGACCCAAATGAATCAGCATGTTTAGTTAAATAACCAACCAGAAATCGTCCTCAATCCTAACAATATTTTTAAAGTTAATTATTTTTCTAGTACCAGTATTTTGGTTTAGTTGATGACTTCATAAACTATTTCTGTTTAAACAGAGGATAAAATGTTAATTATTTTTGAGAATATTGTGCTTGTACTGTATTTTTACTACACATCACATAGGCATCTATGTATGATATAAGCAGAGCTGTACTTTATGTACATAACTTTATGTTATGTAACCGTACTATTGGGCTGCTGGTGATTATATTACTAAATGATTTTCTATCAGAAGACATTTCACTTTTTTTTTAAATTCTGATTCTTCATAATTCATTCATATTCACTTCATAACCAGAAATTCATTTTCCCTAATTTTCTTTAAAAAAAAAAAGTGTAGAAGACTGTAAGTTTAAAAAAAATTATGTGCAAGACATTTCCAAGTTCTCATGTGTTTGATAGAATCGTTTTATATGTTTCTTGCTCATATATTTATTCTTCTTTACTCATAAGCTAGAATATTATGTTCTGTATACTTACAGATATTTAGACTTTGTTTATTAAGCATAATACAGGTCATAAATTAGCTGGACTTTAGCACTGAGCAGAGCAATAACTAAACAACTTTTAGAACTTGGCTTAGGACTCCAAGAGATAATGTGAGAGACTATTTCACAATTACTTCCATTGGTCGATATTTACCAAAATAACACAAATATACAAAGAACATGTATAATATAAAACTTGCTGTGCAAATCTAATATAAAAACCAGCACTATCTTAATATCAAGTCTCGTAGAACAATATCTTTGCTTATTTTTTGATGATACGTTAAAACTGATCATCTTAAATCAGTGTAGTATGATCTGAAATACATGGATGTTTAAAGATCAGTGTTACAGAAAACTAATTAAAATTACTAAATACTAGTTTAATTGGAGAATTTATGAAAAGCCATGTATTTATGCTGTGGCTAGTGCTGTTCCCAGATGGAAGCTGTATAAAGACAAGATAATTAAAAGCAAAGGGAAAGAAAACGAGAATGCATCTGAAATAGAAAATCCTTAAATATAGTCTCAAATGTGTTGTCATCTGTTAGTTGAACACTGATTATGTGTTTCTGAAATGCAGATAACCAAATCCGTCCCACAACCGGATCCAAACACTGTGAGCTGCGTTAGTGAAAGGGCAGAAGTTGTGCTGCTGTCGCAGCAGAGATCCGCTGTAGTTAGTTCTTAGCGTGAGCACTTCTCCTCCTCCAGAGCACCACGTCCAAAACTAAGAATGCAAACTTTCACAATACTCACTGTCAAAGCGCAGTAAGATACTTAAGACAATGAATTTGTGCTCTTTAGTACACATTCTAATATTGCTTTGCCCTGGCTCTGTGTTTACATTAATAGAAGTGACCCCCACATTGCCAAGCTTTATTATATAAGTAATTAGGGAAAAGGTACGGCAGGGGTTCTGATGAGAACTGACAGATGACCGGTGGCCTGTGGCAAGCTATTTAGTAGAGAAGGAAATGAATGCATCGTACTATCATACTCTGTATGTGAGGGAACATTTGGAACAGTCTCTGTAAAGAGTAGTGTTAATGGAAGAGCTAGCTACTTGGGTAGCAGGTCTCACTGTATGTGTAAGAAATGTATTCTCCAGAATCGCAGTTTTGTTTTGTTCTTTTGATCTAAAACAGTAAAAGAAATTTGTCATTCGGTCTAGAGGTCTGACTGGGGAGCAGAACTATGTTTATTGTCAGTGGAGAGTTTCATGACCTGCTTTCAGGTGATGTCTGTTTGGGAGAGCTCTGTTACACCTGAAATACCTCTGTTTTTTCGACTGTCAAGTGCAGGTGGTGTATGATGACTTTGGTCCCAGTGTAGGAGCCTACAGTTAGGTGGGAGCAATGTGCATCACAGTCTGCTCACAGTGCAATCTTTTGTGTTTTGGTATTTTACAAGTCACAAAGAGCTGATTCAGTCAGGGTATATCACCTCTTGCTGGGGTAAGTCACCCTGTAATAGCTGATGGTGTTACAGGTTTCTTGCTGTCCTCATGGCAAATGTGCTTTAACATGAGTGGGACTGGAGGGACAGTCTTCTAAATGGGACCTGGAAGTCAGGTGACCTTGGCACCACCACAGCTAGGGATTTGGTGCACTGTGAAATATATTGCCTTTGTGTTATGCTTTCATTTTATCATCTGTCTACCCACAGAACTTTGGTTGTGAAAACACAAGGTTTTTGTATGTAGGATTGTATGATGTGAATGAGAGCAGAACTTGGGAACACAACTTCAATTTAATTGAATCTGCTGGTTTCTAAACTTGGAATGGAAACCAGCTTGTTCTTTCTGAGCCTCTTTTGAGTATACGTTGCATTAGAAATTAAAAAGTAATTAGATTCAATTTGTCACTGCAGTAAGCAGATGCCAAGTGTGAGTACACATAGGGACTAGATTAATTTCATGAGTGTTACAGTTCTGTTTTTTTCAGAAAGGAATTTTAATTCAAGTTTCTCACTGTAGGACGTAGCGGAGGTCTTCACTAGGATTTCAAATTGCTTGTGGCTCTCAGCTCAGACCTCAAGTCTGTGTTCCATTTGTTTTAATACTTGAATGCAAATTCTGTGTTTTTATCTAATTAATGTTCTGTGTAAGAAGCCAAGAAAAATGTTTCAGTACACTCTTCTCTAAAATCTGTGAGTGTTTTCTCATGTTTGAATTCTGTATGTTGGATTTTGATTCTGTTGTATTTACCTAACTTCCTAAGAATTATTTGCAATATCCATGTGTTTGTAAAATAACCCAGCCCACCCAAGCCCTGCATATTTGCTGTGAATTGATGAAAATGCTTGCTTCCAATTTCAAGCAATGAGGAAGAGTTAGAAATTACTGAGAACATTAATTCCTTAAGAGCTCATTACTGGTTTTATATAAATAATTTAGAAAATTAGAAACCCATGACTCTAAACTTCCCTGCCTTTCAGAAATAAGGAAATCTTAGGCTTCCCTTTTGAAAAAGATAATATGAAGGTACTTTTCACTTTGGTTTTAAGTTTTTATTATTTAAATAGAATACTTTTTTAAACATTACAGTTATTCTTAGAACTTGCTTAGGAGTTGTAGACCATTATAAAGATTAAAAAAACCCAACCGTGTAGAAACCTTTCACATCAGAAAGAAGAGAGTAAACATAATTTTGGTGTCTTACAGCTTTTGTGGTATTTTCAAAAGCTAACCTAAAGAGAGTGCTGGAACGTTAAATGCAGTTGTTGGAGGCAGTGGCAAGGTCACAGGACTAGGAGTCAGAAAATCTAGATTCTATTCTTGGCTCTGTTGCTGACTTGTTGCCACCCAAATTCTCTACAGCCCAAGGTCCTCATGTGCAAGGTGAAGCATATCGATACTTAATTTGGGAGAGTATTTAGAGCTCTGTGGGTAAAGAGTACGAAGGTTTATTATTGCATTTCTGTTTCATGGAGAAAGCCATGAGCAAAAAAAACCCCAACCAAACACCTAACTAATACTTCACTGTGGGGTTTTTTTTCCTAGTGAATTTATTAATTTTGATTTATTTAACACAACTAAGTCCTCTGGAGAAAAATTGACTTTGCGTATTTATGTAACAATGCCTGCTTAAGGGGCATATATTTATAGCTATATATTTTTAAGGCAGTCTTACTAATACAATATTTATTCATTCAAAGGGCCCCCTTTCAAACATGAAGAATAGAGATACTGGTTCACCCACTCAGGTAAATGCAGAGCAGCCAAACAAGAACAAGAATGCCAATGTAACGTGGCTCTGTGAAGAAGAATCCTTCAGTGACATAACCACTCCGTCTTACAAAAAACCTCTCTATGGCATCTCACACAAAATTACGGAGAAGAAGAACCCGCCAGGAGCAGAGCAGTTCACTTCTTATGAGTTGTTTGAAAAAATCAACCCCAGCAGTCCCTCGCATCTTCGGACTTTGAACGATCAACGCAAAAGGGACTCGGGGCTGCAGCCATTGCCGTAGCAGCGGCCGCCGCAGATTCTGACCCAAATATATATTCTTTGATACAGAAAATGTTTTACACACTTAACACCCTCAATACCAACATGACTCAGCTTCACAGTAAAGTTGACCTGTTGTCTCTGGAGGTTAGCAGAATTAAAAAGCAAGTCAGTCCAGCGGAGTCTGTTGCAGACTTCAAGCCTCCGCCGGAGTACCAGCTGACTTCTGCGGAGCTCAAACAAATCATGGATCAAAGCACGTCAGGCGGAGACTTAGCTTGCCGGTTGCTGGTGCAGCTCTTCCCAGAGCTCTTCAGTGATGATGAGTTCAGCAGAAGCTGCAGTGCGTGCGGTTTTCTCAACAAAAGGAAACTTGAATCCCTTCATCTGCAGCTTATCCGTAACTATGTGGAAGTTTGTTATCCTTCTGTGAAGAATACAGCTGTGTGGCAGGTGGAGTGTTTGCCTCAAGTCAATGATTTTTTCAATAGATTTTGGGCTCAAAGGGAAATGGAAAACAGTCAGCAGAACGTGCAATCGTCCAGTTTTTATGAGACTGAGCAGGTCGAATCCTCTCATTTTATGGAGGATAAAGAGCAGGAGGAAGCTTTGTCCTTGGACAGGAGTACTGCTATTGCATCAGATTACATGCTGGATGCTCAGGACCTCAATGAATTTTTAGATGAAGCTTCTTCTCCAGGGGAATTTTCTGTTTTTTTGTTACACAGATTGTTTCCGGAACTCTTCGACCACAGAAAATTAGCTGAAAGGTACAGCTGCTTTGGAGACTCTGGAAAACAGCTGCTGGATCCTCATCGACTTCAAATAATCCGTAGGTACACTGAAATTTACTTCCCAGATGTGCAAGAAGAAGAAGCCTGGTTGCAGCAATGTGTTCAGCGAATAAATGATGAGCTTGAAAATACATATATGGATGGAAGTGAATGTGATCAGATGAGAGATGACTGTTACGATTCTTCTAGTTTACCGGATGATGTATCAATCATAAAAGTGGAAGACAGTTTTGAATATGAAAAACCTGGCAGGCGCTCAAAAAAAATTTGGCTTGTACCCATAGACTTTGACAAACTTGACTTTCCCCCTCCCGATTTTGATGTCCCTGTCTCCGATTACCTGTTGAACAAAGAACAGATTAAAAGCATATATGAAAGCAGTCTTTCCATAGGTAACTTTGCCTCTCGATTGCTTGTTCTCTTATTTCCTGAACTGTTTACTCATGAAAACTTACGGAAGCAATACAACTGTAGTGGATCTTTAGGCAAGAAACAGCTCGACCCCACTAGAATTAAATTAATTCGACATTATGTGCAGATACTGTACCCCAGAGCAAAGAATGACAGAGTATGGACATTGGAGTTTGTTGGGAAGCTTGATGAGAGGTGTCGGCGAAGAGACACGGAGCAAAGGCGCACATACCAACAGCAACGGAAAATCCACATGCCGGGGCCCGACAGGAGGGAATTTCTCAGCTATGCAATAAACCCCGAGAGGTTTCGAGAAGAATTCGAAGGGCCACCGCTGCCACCGGAAAGAAGCAGCAAGGATTTTTGCAAGATACCACTCGATGAACTCGTGGTTCCTAATCCAGACTTCCCTGTGCCTTCTCTGTATTTGCTGTCTGATAAGGAGGTAAGAGAGATAGTGCAGCAGAGCCTGTCGGTTGGCAACTTTGCTGCCAGGCTTCTCGTAAGACTCTTTCCCGAACTCTTTACTCCAGAGAATCTCAGAATGCAATACAACCATTCAGGTGCTTGTAACAAAAAACAGCTCGATCCTATCAGACTGAGACTGATCCGTCATTACGTGGAGGCAGTTTACCCCGTGGAGAAAATGGAAGAAGTATGGCATTATGAATGTATACCGAGCATCGATGAAAGATGCCGGCGTCCTAACAGAAAAAAGTGTGATATACTGAAAAAAGCAAAGAAAGCAAAAAAATGACAGGCTCTTTAAATTCTTAAGACTTTGACCACTAAATTATTGTCAGGATTATGCTTTGGTTTAGACTGAGCGGCCTGTTGGGAGCTGAGGGTGCTCAGCATCTGGGACAGTCAGGCACTAAGTTTGTTGCGTTTTAATGTGTGTGTTGCATCTCTGTGGGCACGGCAGCAGTGGGAAGTGGCTTACTACGTTTGTACGTGGGTAAAGACCATGAGTCATCGGTGACAGAGTTATCAGTGACTCTTTAAGAGCATGATTTTCACTGGTGCAAGTACATGTATTGAAACTGTATTACTCCACTCCCCATTTCTGCGTCTTCCTTTTTTTATCACTTTCTAATAATAAAGAACTTTTTTTTTATTCTTGTGCTCTTCAGGGGCAGTTTTTCATTATACCCTTATAAACAGTCTTGTTAGTGAATTCAAAGGTTGAAATTTAAACTTAATTTAAATTTGAAAGTGCCACGTTCATTGGAAATCATTGGAATATTAGACTTTGCTTCTACAGTAATTGCAGCTTCACAACTGTTTTGTTGGTGATACCGAGGTACTGAAAATAATAATACTGTGTCAAAGAATGGGTCAGAATGGTGTCATTTGCATATTTGACTGTTACCTAGGTTTTATTTCCAAAACCAAGAATTAACTGTTGAAGAATTGAGATGTGAGCTTAGACATAATGTGAATGTTTGTTTTGTGGTTTGGTTTTTTTTTTTATATTGGCACCCCAGTCCTGCCCCTGTGAGTTTGTTGGGTTTTTTTCTGTTTTGTCCAGTGTCACTGCTGGTGTGACTAAGGATGGCTCGTCTGAATAAAGCCAGCAGAATAGACCCAAGCTTATACCTATGGAATGTCTTGCCATCGCCTGCTTGCCACTCTGTTTGTAAAATAACAAAGACAACAACAAAAAGACCTGAAACAAGAACTCAGAAAAATTTTGGACCTTACTCTTTATCAATATCATAATTCCAAAGGTTTCCAGTATTCATATTGAATTGCATATATAAAAAGTACCTGCAAAGATTGGTTTTGTGATGGAATTAAGTGTTTCAGGGTCCCTACGTATGATCTGTGGTAACGTCACTTATTCTGTGCGTGAATGCAGCACCATCTGCATATTTCGAGTGTAGGGATATTGAACTCTCTCACTTTGCCAAATCGACTTAGTGTAATTAGTAGCTATTTGGAGGCATAACTGTGTATGTGTAACTTAGGTTCATATGGTCATGTTTGCATCATTAATACGTTCAAGTCTAACAAAGACCACCCAAAACCCGATGTGAATTTGCTGTATGATTTGTCACTGGAGCGCGCTGCTTTAAAACTAGGTTTCCTCTTTCTTTTTTTCTTTTTTTTTCTTTTTTTTTCTTTTTTCTTTTTTTTTCTTTTTTTTCTTTTTTCTTTTTTCTTTTTTTTTCTTTTTTTTTCTTTTTTCTTTTCTTTTTTTTTCTTTTTCTTTTTTTTTCTTTTTCTTTTTTTTTCTTTTTCTTTTTTTTTCTTTTTCTTTTTTTTTCTTTTTCTTTTTTTTTCTTTTTCTTTTTTTTTCTTTTTCTTTTTTTTTCTTTTTCTTTTTTTTTCTTTTTCTTTTTTTTTCTTTTTCTCTTCTAATACTGATAGAAGTGGAAGGCAGTAAAGATGATAATTGCTTACTGACCATTGCTGGAACACGTTGGAGCAATTGCTGATGTTCTCTGTGGTCCTTTTTTGTTGTTTACTTAGATGGGTCATAGTATCAAATTTTAGGTCAGTTCCAGTGTAATTTTCTATTTTAGCCTTTGTAAGAAAGTACAAAATACTTGATATTTTTACTTCAGATTTTTAGAATTTATTGTTCTTAGAGTCATATTGATCCCTTTCTTTTAAAAGCAAAACAAAGTGTTTTTTCCTAATGGCAAGAACTAGTAAAAATATTATGTTAAACCAGGAGTAAATCATAATAGATCGTAGCATTTGCTCATTTTCCCCATATGCTAGCAACATTCTCAAAGAATGTATGAAGAAAGTCATGAATGTACTAAATAATACACTGATACTGTTTATATCCATTTAAATGTTTCCTGTTGGTTTAAATAATAGCAGACCATGCACAAAATGGATATCAGAGCAAATATGGCTATAATAAAATGAAAACATTTTACCAAAGATAAAGAACTGATACCACAATGTCTGCATCTTATCTTTCATTTTAGTGCATTAATTTAGCAAATTGAATGTATCAGAAACCAAGACTTTCTCTTGTAATTGTATGCTACCTAGCACCTCTGTGAATTTTTTTACATGCACTTTTATGGGAGATAGAAAATGACAGAAATTATTAACAGCTGCTTAATTTGTTGTTGCAAATGGCTGGCCAGAAGGTAAGAAATATAATTATATTTTCTTATCTTAATGTCATACGCGTTTCACCACTTAGTGATGTCGAAGCTCCCAGAAGAATTCAATATCTATTAAACTTTTGTACAATTGACAGATGTTACTAGCTAGCATGCAAATTTGAGACATACTGGCTTTTACTGTAGAGGTTGACGTGAAGTCAAAAAATCAGTCCATTCATATTATCTACTTAGTAGTAAAAACCCCCAATTTTTCACCTTTTAAAATTACGTTTTTGAAAGTGGGTATAGAAAGATTTTCATTGTTTTTTTCTTTTAACTTCTGTCTAATTGCTGTGCACATTCCTTTTATCTCACTCTTCACAACCCTTTCATGATTCGTTTGATTGTATGTTTTATAACTGATATCAAGAAAATACAGACATATGAATAGTGACACAGTTCACTAATGAAAGCTCTTGCAGTGCTTCTGAAGTACAGCCACTTCATCCAGTTGGTCAGTCTTGTAAATAAATTAAAGGTATATTATTTTCATACAAGAGGAATGTTGTCTGGTGATTGCTTGAGTATGAGCAGGAATTTTTTTCCTATAAGGTCTGTTACTAAGCTCTGAGATAACCTTAGCTAGTCAGACAATATAAAAATGAAAACACCCTGGGTTTCTGCAGCCATTTAAAAAGACTTTTCTGTCTTTCAGACTTTTTTTTTTTGTTTGTTTAAAAGAATAAGCTTCTTGTTTTGAAAGTGAGGCTATGATAGGAAGATTGCTAGATACTGAAGTGTTTGGAACATACATAGCCACACGTACACTGACTTCCTGTGGATGAACATTGCTTTCTACTGACCAGGTCAGTAAACCCTGTTAAGGTGAATACCAATGTCTTTATGGCTTATAGTTTAAATATATCAGCTTTGGATAAGCATTGAATAGCCCACTTCTAACAGATTTCTAAAAGAAGCAGTGTATAATATATCATAGCTCTATATTTTTGGGTCTTAGCCATTTTCTACAAATTAGAAACTTACTTGGAAGCTCTGTAAAAGACGTAAAACAGCCCATCAAAACGCACACCAAGTATGCACCAGTTTATTGCCCGTTAACTGTATTCAGCTGACAGAATCAACAAGTTTGCAAACGAGAAAAATCTTTACTTGAAGTCAACCACTTTGTTATGCTAATGCATTACAGCCCCCAAAGTGTTTCATGTTCTAGAAAATGTTTGTGACTTTTTTAATCTTCAAAATGCGTATAATTTTTTTCTAGATACATTTTTAAAAGCTGTCATTTGTCTCTCTTCAATTATTGTTTGATATTTGTATTATGTTATAGCAGTGAGAAACAGAGAATCGTGTGCTCGACACTACAGAGGCACACCAGATCTAATTTCATGCTGGAAAGGGCTAACACAAATTCTGCAGCTCCAAGAAACACAGAAAATAACATGCAGGTTTTATTCATAATTTATTCAGATTTTGTTTCACTAATTAAAGGGATGTGAAACAGCTGGAAAATTCAATGCCTGTACTAAGGATGGGGCATAAATTGACAAGTGTTCTTATTTATCATGCACATTTTAGTTGATTGCACTTAAAATCTATGGGAGAACAAGCGTGGCAGGTTCAAGCTTATGCTTTTTCTGAGTAAATCAAACTAACTCCGTCACTGTCATTGCCAAAATTTCTTCACTTCCATGGTTTGACTTTCTGATTTTTTCCATTGTTACTGCAACTCGGTTGGCACCAATGTAGTTAGGAGGTTTTTCTCAGGAACATGCTGAAAACTTCTTTTAAAATGTGCCAAAGTTGTTTAAAACAAATAGCTGAAGTGATGGTTTAGTTCCCTCTCTCAATTCTCTCTTACCATTGTCTTTGCTAAGAAAGAAAAAAAGAAAGAAATCCTCATTTGTTTGTCTTCATCCTTTCCTACCTACTTTTTTGTTCTAGTAAATATTAAGATAAATTTCTAGTAGTAACAGTGCTTTTGAAATCCTCCTTCTACTCCCTCCCTTACAAAAGTAATTCATCTAAACTTCTCACTGGTAGTGATAGTTTTAATTTCTTACAGAATACACAATACTCATCATTATCTTTGCCATAGCTCATACAAACCCTGTCCTGAGAGGTCACCTCTCCTGCGGCAGAGCGCTGTCTGAAGGAGCTGCCCTGGGTTGGCCAGTCACAGTGCTGGAAGCAGATGAGTCCTAACAACATCAAAACTCCATCATATTCACAACATTTTCCTCATACCTCATCTGAGTGGCAGGAGATTATCCCTTACGCTGTATTATTTTTATCCCACATATTCCTTTTAATTTGTGTCATTTTCTAGATGCCATCTTTTCTCATTAGTGACCATAAAAGCCTGTGACATGGGCAGACCACCTGCTTCTGCCATTTCCTGATCTGTTCCACGATGGGGCTGTGGTCCCCACTGGGCATTTTTCTTTCATTAACAATTTGGAAAGAACAACTTTGATTCTCACAGGAAGGGAAGAGCTGTAATAGAAGGGAAATAAAGCTGTTCTGGAGAAATGGTAAGTTCCTTTCCTACTTCTCCACTTTCTCCCTGCCCCCCCACCCCCCCCAAAGGTAAACATGAATACAACACACTTGTTCATTTTTTTACTAGGTTTTTGTCATTTTCTTTTTAAAAAATTATCATGACTTCCCAGTCAAAAACCTGGGCCAAATCACTATGTGTCAAATCACACTAAAATTTGTGTTAATAGTTGGAAACAAAAGAAATTGTGATTGCTGAGGACTGGAGGAAGATCAGCTAATTAATGTCTCCTCCCACACACAAATGTCAAGTAATCATTCCCAATTTCCTTCACAAATTTCATTATGGCAAGCCGACTGTTTGTCATTGTTTCCAGAGGCATTTTGTGGTGCTGTGTGTTAGTGCTCACTTTCCTGGAAGGCAAAATACTTCTTTCATCGTCACACTTTCAGGAGTGTACCACTTTTTGGTTAGCTCATAAGGTGGTGTGTTAGCAAGGTCTACAATTGTTTCCTATGAAAAGAAAATCCCGAGGTACCTGTCAGCAGTAGGAATGGGTCACTCAGTAGCATCACAGCCTACATTTGAGATTTGATCTCTTAGGAGGTGGGTTTTATGTCATGTAATGCTGTGCCTTGTCTCTTGTTTCCTATCCTTGTTCCGAGGATTTTAAAAAAAACAGGGTCTCCTTGAAGTGCTTGCCTATATATGCATTGGATACTCAAGGGCTGGAAAGTGAAGAATTTTTTTTGCTTCAGCAGTACTCAGATTTGCATCTGAGGGAGGGCTCCCACAGCCCCCTTTCCCATTCCTTTCCCCGTGCATGCCATTGTAGGATGACCTCCGCAATTGGCCTGCGCAGGCTGTGAGCACTGTAATTTGGTAGGTGCTGAATGAAGGTAGGCTGTCTTGTTCTGACATGCCAGCACAGATAAACAACAACCCCAAGATGAAAAAAAACCAAACCAAACCAAAAACCAGAAACACTTTGGTGCTTTTTTGTTCTATAGAAAAAAGAATTGCGTATTATTTGGGGGGGGCAGAGGGGTCAGAGCATAACCTCCCCTCTCTCTGTGTTGATCTGTATGTAGGCAGCAGAACTCAGAGTGTGGGCATGTGCCTGCTTTAGCTGACCAGGCTGACTCTTCTGCCAGACCCGAATCCCATTGCTGTGTGAGCAATTTCTCGCTATTCCTTCATGGGATCCCCCGGCACCCCGCTCCGTAATGCAGGCTGGCCCACGTGGAGCAGATGCTGCAGCGTGTAACGTTGCTCCTGCAGTGGGTGGAAGACGCAAAGCTGTCAGATAATGCTGCGTGCTACGCCAGTGACAGCTGGGTCCTGTACCCACAGCCTGAGGGCGCCTGTCTCTTACAGGACCAGATGAACTTCTGGATCGGGCCATCCCCCTGCGCAAGGACAGGTATGCTGGCCACGCTGGGCTCCACACCTAGCCTAAGCATGGATTCGTCTGTGTTTAATGCAGATGTGCTGGGCAGCCTCCAGTCACCTTGCCAGGCACTTCTCAAGCTGTCCAAACCTCCCCTTATGATGCTCTGCAGTATCTCCATGAAGAAGCCCTTTCATATAGTTCCTCCACCACACAGACTAAGATTGGCAGGTGCCCATGTCGTGGAGCAGGAAATTCATTAGAGTGGTGAATAAGGGCAGAAGCAGCGACCACTTACCCAATTCACTGTCCATACCTTGAACTCTGAGCAGGAGGAAAAGCATTTGTGCATCTCCCACCTCTCAGTACTCGGTGGTGTACTCCAACCATTTCAATCCTGAGGCTGCTCTCACCCATCACAAGACTCCTTAGGAAGTCTGCCTTCCTTTTCCTTTGCTTTGCTGATACCACTAGTGGCTCAACACTTAAAACCTATGAAAGCCTGTTTCCACCTTTGTCAGTGAAGACCTGTTTTTTGGTGGCAGTCATAGACTCACAGAATGGTTTGGGTTAGAAGGGACCTCAAAGACCATCTAGTTCCAACTACCCCTGCCATGGACAGGGACACCCTCCGCTAGACCAGGTTGCCCAAAGCCCCATCCAACCTGGCCTTGAACACTTCCAGGGAGGTGACATCCACAACTTCTCTGGGCAACCTGTTCCAGTGCCTCACCACCCTCACAGTGAAGACTTTCTTCCTTATATCTAATCTAAATCTACCCTCTTTGAGTTTAAAACCATTGCCCCTTGTTCTGTCACTAGAGGCCTTGGTAAAAAGTCTCTCTCTGTGATCACTAGGAGAGAGCTAGATCTTTATTACAAGCTCTCATCTACTTTACTTCCCAACAGGCTTTTCCATAAGTTCAAATCTCAGGGTTTGAGCTAATGTTGTATTCATGTTCTGTCCAACTCAAGAAATTACCCTGCCTGTGCTCTTATGTCAGCGGGTTCCAGGGATGTAACTTTCCTGCCCATCTTGGATGCCAGGCATCTGTTGGCTTTTTTTGTTGCTCTCAGTTTTATCTTAGGCAGAAAGACCCTTTCAGAGAGTTCCCTTCTTCGCATCTGTACCTTGGCTATCCCCAAGCCTCAGAGCATTCCTGAGGTCGATGAGCAGGGTCCTGTTCTGGCCCTGTGAGCTCCGGTGTGTAAGCTGCTACCGCTGGAGGTCACAGGCGGTGTGACTGTACATACTAATAAGCACTTCACAGGTAACAAATGGTTGATGACCAACAACTGGAGCTCACTGACATATTACTCATAACACATCTTTCTACTTGTTTCTCTCAGCATCCCTGGAGATTGTGGGAGCCACTTACTTAGAATAGCAACAGTAAGCGGAATTGGGGAACAGAGGATGCATCTCATCTCTTATTTCCATAGCACTTGGTGCAAGCTCCAACAAATATGGTGGAGACAGCAATGCCCACAGTGAAAGTACAGCCTGCCATGTTCTTCCAGGTGCTTGCAATGCTGAATCCCTTCACTTCTGCAGAGTAAGGATCACCAAAATCCTCTCAAGAACCAATTTTTTTAAAAGGTCATTATGCCTCTAAACCATTAACTAGGCATTTATCTGCCTCTTTAAACTTCTACACAATCATCATTAAAAAAAAAAAAAAAGCCCCAAACAGCACAAATTTGTAGCTATGCCTAAAGAAAGCTAGAAATTATTTTAAATCCCGCACTCAGCAGCACCACTTCCAAGGCTACGGACAGCAGCAGGTACAGCCTGCTTAAACACAGTTATTGAGTAGCTGCTGGCAGTCAAGCCCAATGGTTCCCATGCGCTCCTGACCAGGCGAGCACCATTGCTTCCTCTCACACTTCAGAGACCTTTTATGCGGTGAAAATCCAGTCGTTGCTTTACCAGAGCTTTTATGTGTACCTGAGAGTCTGATGCTTAAGCAGAGCAGTCTCCTCACTGATCTGCCTTCTCCAGGAGAGCAGAGTGTTGCTGCCGTGATTCGTTCTCTGTCACTGTGAAGTTTCCTGCCTAGAAATACACAGCTGCAATCAGTAGCCTTTTGTATTCTTGGTATAGCAGCAGTGTATATAAGCACAGAGTTGGTATTATTAACCAAGATCAAACTAATAATGAAAAAGGATTGTTAACCAAGATCAAACCAATAATGACAAAGGAAGCGATTTTACATAATTGGGCTTTTTATCCCTATTATCCCTATTTGATGAATCTAGAGATAAAACTAAGAAAACAGTTCTGCTTGTTGTGATGTCAGTTTTAATGTAACCTTTCTGATTAACCAAACTAGACAGCAATTAAACAGTGATCAAATTAGTCTTTATTGGTTTGTTATATATAACATCTGCAAAGGAACTGCCTGGAAATGTAAGGGTTGAATCTTTTATCCCACAGTACCAGAAAACAAAACAAACAGCAAAAAGTGACAGGCTTATTGCATGAATATTGCAGAGGGAGATAACATTCTAACACAAACCCTTGAAAAAGGGTACTGTAATTTTGTTTAACCAAAATTTGTATTAAACAACAACTATAGTTTTCCGCAAAAATCTTATGCTGCCACATGCAATCCCCTGTTACTTAAGTACGTCCTGTTTGGGCACTTTTAAGTTTTTCCATCGCCTCAAAATTACTTTGTATTTTTCACTTTCAGTTTTGTTAGATACTTTTTTTAAGACTACCCGCATAACTACAGCAGTTCCTGTTTCTTTATCTTCACCTACTATGAGATCCAATGTGTCACCAATTTTCACCTGGAAACAGAAAGAGAAGATGAGCGATTATAAACATACCCTGGGGAAAACAAATCCCTGCAGTCTACAGCCAATTTTAATTTTGTTCCTTTCTTTCCATTTAATGTTCTTATCTCACAGGAGAGGAAGAAGGAAGACAATACTAGTACCCATCATAGATTCTCCAGCTATGAATTTCTAGGAAAGCCCTGGCAATAAGCAATTAAATGTCTCATGACGTTCTCTGCCAAGAGCTTTACCCTTCCTGTTCTACAACTGACACTTAACTGTGTGAAAAGGGTATGTTTTTTTCCTGAAGGGTGTTTCCTGCCAATCTTTTTGTATCAACACAGACACAAAACAGCAAAATGCAAAGTTCTCCCTCCTTCCTTTAAAACAGTTTGAAATGCTTTAAAAAACAGAATGCTGGTCAACTGCTTGTGTTCCTTTCAAAAGTCACAAAAGCAGTATGCCTTTCAAAAATGAACCTTAACTTTAGGGGATCAGGAATTAAAACTTCTTATTGCCATTTGATGACATCAACCACCACCTAAGATCACCCTCACATAAAGGGTGGGTAAGAAGTATTTTGTAACCATTCTGGTGAGCTCTGTTGTGAGAGTATGGCCCACAACCCTTCTGGCTCTTCCCCTAACTGTGTTCCTGTGTGCTCTATTGCAGATACAGTAACCTTTCCTGAGCTACCCGTTTCAATCCCTATCATCGAACTTTCTCTTTTCCTTTAATCATGTGCTGGCTCCATCAGTATCTCAGATTTAATCATTCCTACTCCATCAACCTCAAATCTATCATCACATCCTTCAGCAACTTAGAAAGTTCTGTCCTTGCTACCTGAGTTTCAGCCTTAGGTTTTACTCTCTAATACCACAAGTCTCCTGTCTGCCTTAGGGAATAATGTCTTACCCAGGGAACAAATCATAGTCACACATGTACAAGGCTGGAAGTGGTGTTAGCAATGCTATTCATTCACCTTTGCAGAGCGATTTAGTGGTTAGCTCTTCTGACACAAGTAAAAGGAGAGACAAGAAAAGGTCATGCCTTAGTTATTTTCTTGTACTGTATTAAAAGATTTAAATTTTAAAAAGTCTTACAGTTCTACTTTTCTTCCATAGTTTTTCTCCATTCAGCCTGAGTTCATTATTGTAGAATGCATCTTCTACTTTACTGAAGAAAAACAAGGTTTTATTGCATTTACACCATGCAGCAGACCAAACGCATTTGTATCTTTGCAGATACACAGTAACACCACTCAACTGCAAAGCACATTTCCACAACTCTAATTTGTGCATAATGATACCTTTATTTAAGGTCAGGACAGACAGACCTGAACTGGAAGTAAAGAAAAGGTCTTTCATTGATATTAAATGTGTGCCAGAGCACACAGCAATAAAAAGCTGTTCCTAAAGCCCTGTCTCCTGAATATCCAACAAATAATGTCCTCTTTCCTGCACCAGCCAGTTTAATAATTAAGTGATCAAGTTATACTAATATTCTGTTCTAACAACACTGCAGTATAAGGCTCTGTAGGTTGCATTAGATCAAACATTGTGATATATTTATAGACTGCACATTTACCTGGCTGACTGAGTACGTTAGGTTTATACTTGCCATCATCTATTTCTACAGCCATTAAGTAGCATATTATTTTACTCCCTCAATCTCAGATTAGATCTTTTTGTATTACTTAGTACAGTGTTTTGCATTTTCTTCATTTTAAATATAGTAACTGATAGAAAATGCCTCCTCAGCAATCTTAGAAATAACGCAGACAACGAAAAGCAGAAAACAGGCTGTTTCAAGGGAAGTAGGGTGAAATAAGAACACCCATACATCCAAAACATATTTTTAGACAGTGAAAACAGCTACACCCCCCCCCCCAATACAGAGTTATTCCAGCAATAAAAGGGTATAAAACCTCACATTTTAGATACATGACATCTTTCTCATCAGCAGGTTGTTTCTTCCTTACTTACTTTCTTACAATGTCTAGACCAGCTTTCATGATCACATCATATCGAAGAGACTGCACTACTTTTTCAAGATCCTTGTAATCTTTTACTACATTGGGGTCATTTTCAACTTCATCTTCCCAATCGCTTTCCTCTTCATCTTCCTCCTCTTCTTCCTGTTCTTCATGTACAGTTTGTCTGCTCCTTTTAGAGCTTTTGTTACTTTTATTCCGCAGAGAAAGTACTGAGATATGATCTGGAGAAAGTCTTAGTGCGCAGAGTTTTACTGGGGAAAAGCTGAAACATCTTCTGTAGTTTACTGTGCTTGCTTGACAGCTACAGAATACGCTTCTCCTCCAAGAGAGAGACAGTTTATTAGAGGGGAATTTCTCCCACAGTCCAAACCAGACATTTAGTTTTCTAAAAGCAGTGATGGGCAGTCTGAAGCCAGTCATAGCATACCCTAAAATAAAACAAACATTCATATGTAAAAATGAGCAACTGCTTTGACTATTTGAAGGATTTCTCCAGGTACGGCATAAGAGTTACTACAAAAAGATTATTATCTAGTTTCCTATAAAGCAATACATCATCTAAAAGCACTAGGCTATACCAGTTTTATGATCTGCCTTTCTCATACACTGTTCACCATTAAAGAGCTAAAACACCAGATGAAAAACAAACACTAAAACCCCCAGTGGAATGCTCTGTTCATAATTCCTTTTCTGGTGTTTCATATTAACTGTCCAAACATATTTGTGGTGTTTTCCTCCCTACACCTGACATACAATTCACAAAAGACACACAGAAATGAAGTTAACTACATCATAAAGAGCATAGGGAGACCTGCGTTTATCACGACTTATTCTCCATAAAAGCAACTTGCTCAATACTGCAAGCAAGTAAACCCAAAGAGTTGAAAGCCGCTGCTTAACTTCAGTCCCTGCTCAGACCGCAACCCTCCTGCGTGGCAGAATGCTGCACAACATTCCCCCCCGGAACCTCCCACGGCAAATAGCATCATGGTAGAGTTCAGGAGAAATAACGCTGCTCTATGCACTGCAACAGGACTGACACCAGCAACGAGTCCAATGTGCAATCCCCCACCACTTTCTGGAGCCATCTCTAACCTGGGACAAGGAGGTGGAAACAGCCCCAAAAAACCCAGAATGTCTTTCAACATTCTTAGAAATTGATTTACAGTCCTTCCTAGCTAGGTGGAGCACTGGCTTTTATTATGGCCATGTATGTATGGAAACACGTGTTCACTTCATGAGACCGAAGTTTGTTTTCCCTGCACCCAAATGAACTCTGCCAAAATCTGAATGAAGGAATTTTTTTGTGGTTGGGAAAAAGCCCTGATTAATGACAGCAATTATTGGCCATATAAAAATAACCACAACTCTCTCAGCTTTTTTTTTTTAATTATTTAAACATACGAACTTAAAATATATGACATATAGATTAAAATTTAGGATGGTTCAATCCTTACATAAGACTTACACCTCTCCTCAGTTTGGGAGCAAATTCCTAGAATAGTTATTTGAATGTGTAAACGATTATTAGTGCTTATTTTTAGTGCTCGATCCTACTTTGTTCACGGTTGGCCAGCGG